GTATCTGTCCTTCTTTCCTTCATTTCGCAAATTTGTGGCTCTTCGCTTCAAAAGCAAATAGTTAAATACTGACTTTTCTTAAAATATCCGAATTTATCGTAACTACAGATAAGACTCCAAGGATTTCAAAACAGAAGAAATACAGGGCGGGATGTATCGACTCGTCTCCTCCGTCACCGGTAAGAATGCCTGCAAGGACTTGAAAAAACGTTTTTATTTCCATATGTAACTACGAGACAGGAGGATAACATTAAGGCGAATTTTAAGGAAACTTATTTAAAGATTTTGAGATAACGAACCGACCAGAGCATGAATCTTTCTACATTTCCATCCCACGCGGAGGCAGAGATGAGAGCAGAGATGCAATTTAAATAGCCTGACAACCGGGTGTTGTGTGTCCTGAGACAAGGGTCCCTTCCGCCTCGCCAAACATTTCTATTAGCACGGAAACAAACAAGCATCATCAGTTGGAGACGTCATTAGCGCAGCAGACGGCTGGGGCCGGAACTGATAAATCCGCAACGCTAATCCCCAAAGGCTGTAGCTTACATGGCCCAACTGTGCCTGCCTCCCGCGATATTTATAGGACCGTATGCTTCATTTGGTACGAGTATATCTTTAAAACGGAGCTCCTAATACACATAAGTAAATTATAGAAAAAATGAATTCAATCAAATCCGGTCGAAAATAATTACTGCTACATATTAATGGGTATGTCTGTAATATCCTCTTTAAACACAGTAGGGTCAGACTCCAAAAGGGTTCTGCACAATGGACAGATCGCCCATTTAGGGATCCTATTGTGTGTCTGAGAAGGTTTAAGAAATGAGGAAGCCAAAACCAAAAGTGGGCTGTGGCGAGTGTCTGACAGCCACCAAGGTTTGTGGACCACAGCCTAATATATACTCTCTTGCTAGAAATCTACATCTTGCTAATTCAGTTCATTCATTTACATGTAAATTCATATAAATAGATCTATTTTTCCTTAATCATGAAGCATTAGTACAGTAACTAAGACCACAAACCCAAAAAATATCCTAGGTTCGAATCCCGATAAATATAGTTTCAGCAGCTTGAAAACTAATCATGAAAAAACAGCGTAAAGGATAAAATTCTTTGTTTTGGCGATCAGATTACAGGAACCAAGGTCAGAAGCCCCAAATATTGTCCTCTGTTCGAGTGCTGATAAAGATATTGGCATTAGAAACACAATTTTTTGTACGATATTTAACGATAAGAGACTCTTGGGATGATATACATCACACTTTAAAACCTACGACGACAGCACCGACCAAAAATGGTAGCGGCGCTGACACAGGATAGAGGCTCAGATGAGCCAAGATTACCACAAGATACGACGCTCGCAAAATCGAAGAAAAATATTACATAAAATGGATGTGCCTTGGGATGCCATACGACATGAAACAGTAAAACCAACGCTGAATGTTGAGAATTCAAAATCAAAGGCACAAGGAGCCTTTCAAAACTCGATATTTTTAAGTTATCTAGGGAAATATTGTCTAGAATTTATCCAAATTCTTGTATGGAAACAGATTCCTATGATGAATATATCGGAGGAGACACAATTAATCAGGGCAAAGCTCTAAAAGGAGCCACGGAAAAATCAGTTCATAGGTTTCTTGAGGAACCTGAAAAAATAATATCAAATCCGAAGACACTGAAGGCCGAATTTTCAGTATTTGAAAAGAACAAAGAATTTGGATTTATTATTTGATGCCCTGAAAACGATAAAACCAAGTTCAGTAGCCAATGAGAGAGTGTTTTCTATTTCAGGCAATTTTGTTTCTAGAATAAAGAACAAGGTTAAGTAATCGTTCAGTGGACATTTTAAGTTTTTTAAATCGTATTTCCTGAAGAAAAATTCTAAATGAAATAAAAATTTATAATTTATATTTTGTACGGATTTTAGTTATTTTAGTTTTTTATTTGGTTTTGTACGTAGTATATTTTATTTTGTTATATTTTTGTAGTTCCATAAATATTAAATAAACTGAAAAAAATTAAAATAACTATAAATATTTGTTACTGTTTTAATTATATTTTGGGTTTTTTTTTGTAAAAATTCGAAAATCTGTTTTTTTGGAAATACTGGGATTCGAAAACCGGTTTTTTTCAAAAGTCGGTTTTTGTATAAACCCTAGTCTAGACTACGTTATAGAGACATGACTTTCGTTTCTACAGACATAAACATAATACACATCGTCAGTAAATAGTATACCTATTTTTATCACATGGCGCTAAGACCAAGAGCATATATTTACCGAGAACACCGCACATTAGCTACACTGGGGCATGGAAAATAGGCGTTACAGCTTCATTTAGAGGAGTAAATAAATCGTTAGGTACACGTCTATTAAATTCTACAAATACTTGGTACCATGCAATTTAAAATAATTGTCTTCCTATTTGCCGACTAAAAACGTAAATATTGTAGAATTTGAGGTTTTCACGGCGGTGTCTGAAGATGGTTGTTTTCTGGGTTGATGCGCCGTGTAGTCGAGTAGATGGGCGGGACATGTAGCGCGCATGGATGGGACAAGAGGTGTGCACCGGGTACTGGTTGGGAAGCCTGAGGGGAAGAGACCGCTGGGGAGACCTAGACGTAGATGGGAGGATAATCTCAGGCGG